AGTTGGCATTACTCCAGGGGCTCTAAGGGCTCCTTAGACAAAAAGTAATGATATTGTTTTCTAGGATTTTGGAATATTGCAAAAAAGAAGCGCTGTGGCGAACACATTTATGATTACAATTGGCAGAACACATTTGCTTTTAAACAAACGACATGACTGGTGCGTCAACACCGCTAAGCTAAAGGGTTGATGACCCTAAGTATTCACATGTTGTCACTTGTTAGCAACCGCTGCTTTTAAGACTCGTTAAGCATTGGATGTTCACCAGTGGGGAGTTTACTGACGTATTTTATGACAAAATGCAAAAATCTCACAAGCCTAACCGCATTAACCACATACCTTATTTTGGAACGATGACCAAAGACTCATTAAAAAAAAATTGACTTTGAAACCCAAGATGCTAAAATACTAGCTCATGTTCAGGTTTATGACTCATTCCTACACCGCTTTTTGCACAAGGTGATCTTTCTGCTAGATTCTTGACACTTACGACCCCCTTTTTTTTTTACTTGTTCTTGACAACGTTTTCAAATTAACGTATAACACAAATAACCAGTGTGCTTTAACAGAAACAAACGGAACGGAAAGTGAGTGTCGGAGTGAGAAAAGCCTGTGCTATCATGCTTGGTTTTATTAATAGGGAGGCTGGCACCTTCCCAAAGGGTAGCAGCTGGTCTGAACTTCTTTTGGCAGACAAGTGGAGTGAAGGGAAGTCAAGTGTAGTGTTGGTGTGTGTGTGTGTGTGTGTGTGTGTGTGTGTGTGTGTGTGTGTGTGTGTGTGTGTGTGTGTGTGTGTGTGTGGTGTGTGTGTGTGTGGTGTGTGGTGTGTGTGTGTGTGTGTGTGTGTGTGTGTGTGTGTGTGTGTGTGTGTGTGTGTGTGTGTGTGTGTGTACAGTATATGGATGAAAATGGCACGTGCATGGGGTTGAGAGAGGCAGTTCCGTGGAGGCAATTGAAAGGTGGACAGCATGTGTGTGTTTCATACATGTGTGTACTTGCCAGATTTAAGGATTACAATTGTGAGGCACGAGTTGGATAAAAAAAAAAGGCACATATGCTCATGTGGAGGTGCGGAAATGTGTGAGGAGTCGATATATGGTCGCTTGTGAGGGCTGCAGGGATTTTATACAGCACCACACACAGTGGCATACATACATACTGTATGTGACAGCATGATGTATAGCCTCCCACCCACTCTCTTCCTTTTATTCCCCCCTCCCTCTCTATATATGTGTGTGTTCTGCCACTAACCTACTTTCGACACCGCTCAGAAGGAGAAAATACTGCAATACTCTCACGCCCCTCCGTCATTCTCTCGCTTTACCCCTCATTCAGCGCTCTTCGTCTCTGCCCTTCTCACTGTTGTTTTCCTCCCTCTGCTCTGCCTTCCCCCTCTTCCTTCTCTCGCCTTTATTTCTAACCACTCACTCTTTTCAATCATGTCTGTGCCCACAGGACAGGTTTCTTTCTGTCTGTCTTTCTTTCCTACTCTCCTGCATTGAGCCCTCCATATATTTCCCAACTAGCCTCTTGCTGTCCTCGTGCGTTTTGCTGACACCGCATCTCAGCCGATATTGAATGGAGATGGCATGATAGAGATAGGCATGATTGATGGGCGGACTCGGCGAGAGAGAAAGGTGCACTGAGGAGAGATGCAAGAAAGCGGCGGGGACACAAGGCGGAAAAGAGCTGAGAGGAAGACAAATGAGAAAGAGAAAGGAGAATGTAAGAGGAGACGGGGGAAATAAGAGCAGAGAGGTATGGGGAAGAAGAGAGAGAAGGCTTAACAGAGCAGGTATAGAGAGAAATACATCGGTGAGAAACAGGCAGGGGCTTTACTGAGGAATAGACAGGACAGAAGACAGAGCTAATGATGGACAAGGTGAATGAAAGGCCAGTGGAAGTGACCGAATGTACGTGTGCGTCATATGTCTTCGCCGGTGTACTTTGTGGGCCTTCTTTTGGGGAGACATCTCTGTTTACGACCTGCTACAGTCCCCTTTAAAGTGCACACACACACACACGCAAACACTCACACCTAGACGGATAATAAAAAGCAAGCATATGCAGAACCACGGGTAGAGCGAGAAACACAAGGGAGGCAAAAGAGAGAGAGACTGAGGACAAAGAAAACACTAGAAAGATGAAGGGTGGGAGAACGGAGAGAGATCAACATCTCTTTCTCCCTCTCCCTGAGTCCTGCCTTGCTTTTAACTCTGTCATGCTGCTATATTTAGCCATTGAGGAAGAAGGAAGAGATTCATTATTGAATGGTGTATGGCCGGGTGTGAGTCATTTATTCATATTCTAGATTTTTAAATGTGTGTGTGCAAGGGCATCTTTAAAGGGGCAATGGACGTCTTTTCAACTGATAACAAATGAGGAGGTCATGGCGTCATCTATGTACGATGAACTGTAATAGCTAGTGCTGTCATTGAATAATAGCGTGCGACCCTGGACAGGACACGCTGCATTTTGTTTACCATACTTACACAGGTTGTTCCCAAACCCCCAGGAAGAGCGCTAGCTGTTTATGCAAATGTAAGTAGTGGCCAAACGGGGGTACTACACTTACGTGTCCGTGACGTCATTTGGGCCCAAAACATACTTTTCCCCATTAACTTAGATTGGGAAAGAGACATCCTTAAATCAGCATTTATCATTTTAGCCAAATAAACTACAAAGTATGAACACTTTTATAGCCCTTATTTAAATCATTAGGGTATAAAAGCAGAGTTCAGAGGTGTTTTCCCTCTCCATTGATTTAACTGAGCCGAAAGCGGGAGATTGGAGGCGGGGCTTAAGGAAAAATAAAGTGCACATCGCATCCTCTATGGGCTCAGATACAGTTACATTTAAAGCTACAGGCGCTCCATTGTGGGCTTAATGCACCACTGAGCAACTCGCATAGGAATGAACGGGGCCTTACATTGCTACTCTTTTGGGTTAGCTACCTAGTTACGAGGGAAAATGAAAGTATTATCCTAATATGGCTTTGGTTGTGCAATGGTTGATGTACTTCCTTTGTGGAGCTAATCAAGTGGTAACATAACGCTAGGACAAAATGTGCCAAACATACACATCGAACAGTCATTGCTTATGATAAGCATTTATAATACACAACACACACACATGCACACACACACACACACACACACACACTTGTCCCTTTGTCCCTGTGTTTCTATATCAGTCTCTCTCCCTCTCTTTGCTTCTCCTTTTCCTCTTTTTATTTTTCAGTCGACTACACTTTGCCCTCTCACAGCCTAACACACACACACACACACAAACACACACACACACACACACACACACACACACACACACACACACTCACACACACACTCACAGTTACACGCACCCTGTGCTGGGGGACAGGGAGGCTAATTGAGTGGTGCCCTGGGTGTTCTAGTAATGTGTGCACGTGAGGAAAGAGTGCTCGAACAGATGATAGCACACACACACACACACACACACACACACACACACACACACACACACACACACACACACACACACACACACACACACGCACACGCACACGCACACACACACATACATTATCACTTGGGACCAGGCTAGATCAGTTGTTCAGTTCCCCTTGAGCATGACCGTAGAAAACATGCACACTGAGATCTATACACACACACACACACACACACACACACACACACACACAAATGCCTGTAAAATACATGGTTCACGCTTGCACACATCCTGTATGATGATGTATGATTCCATAAATAGCCCCTTCCTTCCTTTTTGGCTCATTGCCGTTCACTTCCCCCTCCTCCTCTTCACCATGGGAATGCTGATCCCAGAGGAAGCACGCACGTAGGAAAAAGGTGAAAAAGAGGACAACAACTAGGATATATAATAATACAATAAGGAAAGACTGGATTTATTTAAGTGGCATGGAAATTCAAATTACAACTCTGCAGATCGTGTAGATATCCAGTATGTTCATATAATCATAGTATTATAACTCGTCCTTTTTTCCAATATTCTAATATTTCTCTCTTGGCTTTCTTTTTCTTGGTCTATCTGTTCCTCCCTTTCTCTCGCTCGCTCATTAATCTCCCTCACACATTTGCTCTCTCTCGCACTCTCTTTCGGACACACTCTCTCTCCACTGGCTCTCTTTTCTCTTGTAAATGTAACTATTCATCTTGTGACCTTAACGAGACAGGCGGATTGATTTAAGTAGACACCACATGAGTGTGTGTGTGTGTGTGTGTGTGTGTGTGATGTATGTGTGTGTGTGTGATATAGACAGAGAGAGATTGTGACAAACACAATTAAATGTACAATGACACACTCCCTCTTGCTTTTCATTTATCTCTCTCTCACCCTCTCTTTCTCTCTCACAACTAGCCCTTAGATGTTATGTACACAGGGCCAAACGGTGATGTCACAATGGATCTCACTCAGTGTCCACGCAAGCTATTACACACACCAACACTTTAATGTAGCCTGCGTCTGTTTGTGTGTGTGTGTGTGTGTGTTTGTTTGTTTTATTTTTCTGTGTGGGTGGTGTGTTACCAGAACATACACTTAGCATATTTAACTGACTCATAATGATGGCTTGTGGGTCTGTGTTTGTGTGTTTGTTAGTGTGTGTAAACAGGCGGCAAAAGCAGTTAGTGGCCAGACATTCACTTATGCACTGGAATTGAAGACATTGAACCTTAAATGAAAATGTGGTATCATGTTCATTTTTCAATATTTTTGTCATTATTTTTTGAATTTTAAAGTGTGACTTATCTAAAACGAACCTCAGAATGGAAGTTGTTTTAGTGGGAATTTTGTTTAATGATATTGTTCACGTCTGCCCCCTTCAGCAGGATTAGAGTTGTCATTACTGCATCTAAAATTGGAAAGCTGGAGAGAATAGAGACATTTTAGCAATGACTATGCACAAAATGCACTTATTATGTCAAGCTGTATTTGTTTAGATGTATGACTCAAGAAGTGTTTGTTCCTTGACTGACCTTGCTTACTCCATTTGAGTGGATGATTCTCGCCACCATCATTGCCAACTGCATTGTCTTGGCTCTGGAGCAACATTTGCCTGTTGGGGACAAGACGCCGCTGTCTGAGCGCCTGGTGAGTTAAGCAGGCATGACACAGTGTGTGAGCCATATGTAAACACCATTCAACCCAGGTGACAGCTCTGACTACTTATTGATTTGACTTCAGTGGAGATGCATGCAGCTACTCAGCTTATAGACACATTTAAAGCAATGATTTGTTTCACCTTGAAAACATGTAATGATCCAGATGTGCAATGCAACACATTATCAATAATACATTAAGATTCCAAATGATTATACAGAATACACAAACTATTACTCTTAATCCATTAATATACTAAGTAAGAAAAGACACATTCTCTACCATCTCTACGTTGCTACACATTTTTATGAACATTTTTCTTCTGAACACACATTTATCTAGCTACCGATTGGTGTCTGGCTTTGTCTCTGTCTACTTATATCCCTTTCTTCTGTCCTTTTCCTTTCTCCCTTCATTAACCCCCTTGCTTCCTTTACTCTCTTTCCCTCCTCAGGATGATACAGAGCCGTACTTCATTGGGATCTTCTGTTTTGAGTCTGGAATAAAGATCCTGGCGCTCGGTTTCGCCTTCCACAAGAACTCCTACCTGAGGAATGGTTGGAACGTCATGGACTTTGTGGTGGTGTGCACAGGGTGAGTGGCAAACAAACAAACAATAGCCCTACCTGTCACAAAACACACACATACAGTACATGCATATTACGTACCTGCATGAACACTTACAAATGCACACACGCATATATCAAAGATCAAAATATGATGTTGTTCAACTTAAACAGAAGAACATAGGGTCGCTTATCATGTGCTTTAGTGCTGGTTTGAACATGTGTATGTCTGTGAGGGTCCTACCCCTGATCCTTTGCCCTAATAAAGGGCCCCATTCTGGGCAAGGCAGCAGGCAGATCACAGAGCAGAACTGCAGGCAGCCAGCAGCCTGGGTAGCGAGCAAATGTCACCATGATGTACACAGACAAAGAGGGGGTGGGGGTCACAGAGGAAAGAGACATCAGATAGAAGGAGGGAAAAGGGGGATGTGCAAAATGAACAGGTGTATGTAGCCAAATGTAGACAGAGCAAGCAAGGGAGGTAAAAACCATCCCCTCCAAAACAAGCGCGATTTGTGCAGATGTTTTCCCAACACGTGTCTATCTTATAATTCATCATTTTAACTGTAAATTGACATTCAGTCTTTAAAGTCAATATTGCAGGCTGTGTGGTGTTTACAACTGTGAAAACGCTGGTGTGTGGGAGCAGTTTTTGTTAAATGATTAATGTGATTTACACGACTGTAATTGCATAAGTGATCGGTTAGGGAGAAGAGAAAAAACTATATTGAATGTGTGTCTTATTGTTGATGTGAGAATACTCTCAGTTAACTGAACCACACAACTGATGTTCTCTATACAGTAGTTGTCTTAAGACATTCACAAAGCTTACAGTAATAACTATTTTCTGATAATAACAGCACACTTAATCTCTGGTTCTCATTTTTTCTTTTGCTAATTGTGAAATGCATTGATTCTGATAGCATAGAGTACATGAATCCTTAGACATGCCACATAGGGAAACTGTTGCTATGCTACTGTGTCCAATACAATGAGATGTGGGAGTTCTGGCGCAGGTTCATATGTTGAGGTCACTGCATATGGTTATTTGGGAGCTTTATATGTTACATAAACCTTCCAAATATTTGCTGACAAAGCACCGGAGAAACTGGTGATTGCGACCCTCTGCCTACCTCTCTCTTTTTCTCACACACATTTACCGTATGGCGGTATGCCCTTATGCTTCAATAATAATCATGAATCCAAGCTCTTCCCGGCATTGCAAAGCAGAGTGACTGTAAGAGAGACGAGGGGTGAGAAGATGAGTGTCAGCGAGACAGCAGGAAGTAGCGCGATGCAGAGAGGAGGGAGGAGAGGAAGAAGAGGGAGAGCAGAGGGAAGTGAGGCAGTCCTTAACTTCCAGGAAACGCCCGGTCTCACATAATCCCCCCCCCCCCCCCCTCTGTGTTTTTTAAGAGGACATCTAATGTTTTGACAGTGAAACCCTCTGAGCAAGCATGACACAGCAGTTTCATAATCTGTGTCTGCTATAGGCACAGGCTTAGCTGGTGTTGTGTGAGATGTTGTTACAACAGGCAAGCAGAATGTTATGGTTTTAATGACAATGTACCTCTAAAGTGAACCTGCAAAGCACTTCCTGATATGATAGCAATCACAGGCATTGCTGTGTTTAGACTATTTTCAAAGTTTCCATCTTAGATTTCTCGAGAAAATAGATGGAAACTAGGCTTAAATATTGTCTTGGATGAAATGAGAAAAATGATGCACGGATGACCATTTCCTCTTATAGTGTCAACCATATTGCAATTGCAATCGGTCAAAAATGATCGCAAGATATTGGTTCACAATTGTTTAACCTTATTATCATTATAGGACTGAAAAGTGCACCAAAATGGTTTGTTAGATAGTCAAAACCTTTGGCAAAAAATGTTCGGTAGTAGTACAGTCCAAGAAGAGACAAATTGCTCTCTGCAACCATGAAGAGTCACTGGAAATAACACTGTCTGAATTGTTAAAAAAATATCATGAGGCATTACTTTAAGAAAACAGATATAGACTGAGGAAAGCTAGCAATATGTCAAAAAGGAGTAAAAATGAATTTAAAAAAAACCTATAAGTACTCTGCAATGTAAACAACAGTCACGCAACACACCCAGCTTTGTAACCATTTTGCAGAGAGGCAGGAAGCTGCAGCAAGAAATGCAGACGGAGAATATGCTGCAGCACTTACAACACACATACTGTATATTCCCATGATACATTATGTACACTGACTGAAGTCAATACATTGTACACACACATACATACCCACACACACACACACACACACGCACGCACATCCTTTGTCGTGCTCTCTATGAAGGGGGGTTGTGTTTTCAGCAGTGCTGCTCTTTGAAGATGAACGGCTACTTGGCCTTTCTATCCACCCTTGGACGAAACCTTTGATAACACTCTGACCAATGCACACACACACACACACACACACACACACACACACACACACACACACACACACACACACACACACACACACACACACACACACACACACACACACACACACACACACACACACACACACACACACACGGGGGGCATTTGCTCGTGCGGCATACAAAGAAAAAACACACATGGCTCTCAACATGTCTGAATAGATTAGATATTCACTCCACAACCTTGTTGGATGTTAGCAGATTTGTGTGCACTCTTGTTTCTCTGCCCAAGTGTGTGTGTTGACCTATCTCTTGTAGTAAATTGTCTGAGTGATTTGGCCCTGGGAATAAGCTAGTTGTTTTTTTTATGCCAAGTATTGATTATTAGTCCAATTACCCTTAGTTTACAGCCAGTCTCGACTCGCATCCTCCCTCCATCTCTCCTTCTTGTTCCTTCATTCAGGTTTGTTTATTGTGAAAAACAGCTGACACATTCAGATAATTAAAAACGGAATAGGTCATGGAGGCATTACTTTCAGTTCTGTCATTGTTTAGAGTTGTACTGTATATATTTCTGATATAAAGCTGTGTGTTTGAGATTTTCTTAACCTTTAATTGTCTTTGATGTTACGTGACGTTACACATAATGCCATTAAAAGGAATAATACAATCTTTCTATGTGAGGCAGGATATAAAGTTAATGCGAGAGGAAATGTATAAATATGCAGATACATGTTATTATGTAATCGTGGTATCATACGAAAGCAAGGAGACAAGAAAAAGTGGAACATTTGGAGGGGAGATGAAGCGATTTGGTCAGTGATGTGGACAAAGATAATTAGCCACATTTAGCTGAAGTCAGCAGGAAAGCAGGCGGAGGGAGCAGGCGAAAAAAGATGGTGTTTGTATAATTGTGTCCCATGAGAGCGGGTTGGTGGGGAGATTGTGTAATATTGCTTAATGTGATTGTCCTGTATCATTTGTGTGCCTCTGTATAAAGTGCAGGTGTGTTTATCTGTGTATAAGATGTGCGCTAGGCAGCTTCTCGGTCCCTGACGACATTTGTATCCATCGGTTATTACAAATGACCTACTTTCTAGTGTGCATATGTGAATACAATCATTCACACTCAATATGTTAGATCTCCAACCAGTGGCCGTGCATGTGTGTGTGTGTGTGTGTGTGTGTGTGTGTGTGTGTGTGTGTGTGTGTGTGTGTGTGTGTGTGTGTGTGTATGTGTGCATTTGTTATCTTTTTCTGTGTGTATGTGTACATGTGTGTTTGTGTGTGTGAGTTGTGATGCATTTACATCATAGAGAGAAGAGAGGAGAAAGACAAATAAAACAATCAATCAGGCTCCTCCATTGGCCCTGTTACCAAGGTGATACAGAGATTCTATCAATGAGCCAAGGTCCCTGTTGCCATGGAAACACTTATGAATGAGAAAGGACCCAGTAACCGTGGAGACGGTGTGAATGAGGAACTGCCTCATCGGCTTGACACTGTTTGTGACGGCGGATGCTGTTTTAGAAACTGAAATCTTCATTATTACCATCATTGTCCTCATCGTCATTTTGTTTGTTTTTAATATCAAACATCGTAGAAATGGGTCTTTTTTTCTTTCTCGAATGGCTTCTCTTTTGTATTCCCAATAATGCAGATACACAACACACACATACCTATTTGTCATATTCACTGTTTGTGTTTTTATCAAAGGGGCCCTATATGGTCAGATAGGGTTAGAGAGTGTGGAGGAATGTTGGGGATTTTAGACTTTGCGTCACATTTACATGCATCAAAAATGATACACGTTGATACCAATAAAGTCTATTAGCAAAACAAGTAATGGCTTACCATATTTAGGTGCTTTAGGAGCTCTAATTGGAAAGCACTTCCAGTTATACATCTGAATGTTTTATATTTCTT